TCCCTCTAAAATCCACCCAGTTGAGATTACATGGGAAGTTGGAAGTCGTCTCCTAGTTAGTGATGAAAGAATACCAACCNTAGCTCGATGGCGTGAGCCACGTTGGTAGTCAAGCCCTTCCCTGATCGACTGAGAGACTTCGGTTATTAATTCTGGAGGAGTATCAGTAAGGGACTTTGTACTTTAGCAATGTCGTACTCTTGTACATTTCACTTAGTCCTGCGAGAACTTTGTACCGGGGAAATCAGCAGTCAGTCAGTGATGTGATTGACATTTTCTGATAAGATAGAGGCAACTAGTGGCGTGCAGATGGAATACTTCTATCCAGACCTTCTCCATCCGTAGAACTCTCATTTTCTAGAATCCAATCTTTTCACAAGTCAACTGCCACATTTTCTGCCTACAGTTCCTCAGAGGAGTATAACTCTGAAGATATTGTCCAGGTTGCACTCCTCACTTCTTGCAACACTATCGTTAGAACACATCTATGTAAAACAAATCGTAATTCATCGAAAAAAACGATAAAGCCAATCGAAGTACTTAGGGGAGTAGGGCAAGTACTTGGGGGAGTAGGGCAACAATGTGATGAGGTTAAAGGTTAAGGGAAACATGCATAAAAAACTTTTTTCATGCTTATACGTCGAACAAACTTTGAAAAAACTGAAGAACACCACGAAAGAGCTCCATACGGTGTAGATATACCTACGGGAAAAACGATTGGCAGAGGTGAATGATGCAGTAAGAGCATTTAAAGATTAGAGTCGGCTCAACAGCGGAAATTGGAATAGATTTCTCGACAAATTTCCGTTCATGGGGACCACTGTCAGCGAAAAGGCTACCGGCCATTTAAGGCCATTCAACACCCTTTTTCTTTTTGAATAATCGATAGATCAATGAAAAGGATTCAAGGTTACTATTATAAACTTTCAGACGAATTTCCGAAGGCTTTTTCTCTCTAATGGGCAAAATGAAAAGCAATCGTATTGCCCTCTTTTGGGGAATAGGATCACTGAGCGCTATGATTACAAAGGTACAGGAAAAGAAGGCATCTTTGCATCAGTAGGAAACACACCCGTGAGGTTAAATATCCCTAAGCCACAACTTAAGGATGAATGCAGCATATTTCAAGAAACATTCAACTGAAATAAAAGGTGCAAGTAGAGTAATAACATACTTCTGCAGTTTAGCCTAATTCGCGATGATGAGGAAAAGTGAATAAAAACATGAAAAACTGATTAAGAGACAAGGTGTGGGGGATGTTTGAAATCCCATCCTTTTCAGAGCGAAAGTGCAGACAGGGACCTGTTCACGAATGACCTTCGCTCCATCCTTCGATCAATGATTCTGTCTTTCGTAACTTAGGGTATTAGCACTACACGCCTGAACGCTGGAGTATACGATCAGTTATGGACAGTAAAGTAACAAAAACCTTTCATACAGGGACGGAAATGTAATGTTTCCAAAAACATGGAATGAATTTCAATAGAAATGGGTATTGTATTCAAAATTATTCAGGTAAATCAGGTTCGTAAAAATGACGAATCTCCTACACAGTGGAAGTAGATGCGACCTAAATGAGTGTGACTGACGTAGGACAGGGAAATGCCCTCGCTATGCACTCCCTATCAGCAGATAGCCTTCATGGCTATCAATAGCCACGATGATAACAGAATGAACGAGATATCGTCAACCAGTAATTCCCATGTATAACAAATTCGTAATGTACTCCCAGTTTATGGCTAACATTACAATCTTGTACTCATCTTCGAAAAACGAGTTACCAACATCATCCACCGCTCTTTTAGACCTATGTCATACCAACAGGAAGGAGAGGGTAGGAATAATACAGGATAACACAAAATGGAGTGCATATTATGGGGAAGTCCCGTTGTGTTAGGATGCGCCCTGCATTCCACTTCCATTCAGGACCGTAGTGGCGGTTTTGAATACATATGGCCTATACAGTGGCTTGTGGTGAACAGCCGATGTACAAGACAGTGCTGTTATCCTCTCAGACGGGTTCTGTATAAATTAACTAAGAAATGGAGTGCTCGGTTTGTTGGGCGGTTGCTGATTTGGAATTTTAGCCCCGGACCATAGCGTATCTGACAGCGCTCCACTGGGAAGTGCACATCCTTACCGCATGAAATTTCCAAAAAAATCAAAATTCGCTACACCGTTTTCTTGAATGGTTTCCTTCCAATTTCCGATTGGCATCCGCTTACCTACAAGTTACCAAACAATGATATAAATTTATAACCCTGCGTCGACAGCTCATTGATCTCGGTTATATATGGCTCAATTTGTCTGTGTCTGTGACTGTAGTTTCTTCCAGAACTGGTTCACTTCTATACGACCAGTGTAAAATGAATTGTATTTTAAGGCCAGACAAGGCTCACTTTGATGTACGCTTGTACTTATTCATACTAGACATCTTTGCTATGCAAAGGAGATGGAAAGAACGATTTGATGGAAAATTTATTGTCCTTCACTATGCTGCTGCACAGTTTCGTGACCAAGTGATTCACCACTTGGGAATTACGTTAGAGATCTTTTTGACGAATGAACGATACCGTAACTCATGCTCTAGTGCTATATGAATAACGAAGTAGGAACAATAACAAATAAAAAACAAGAAATAGTGATTGAACGAGCTTTGAGAGCTAGATTGACTAGACTAGAATAAGCTTCGTTTCTTCGGGGACACCAAATCGAGTTTTGTGCTTCTCGAAGAGCCCCGTTAGGGCTTCAATATACTGTCGATGAAGGCAATCAACTTCCTCATCAGTTGGCTCGACAACCTTCGGTACATCGATAGGTGCACCAACGACTGTGTTGAGAGGCGTTCGATATGGCAGAAATCCAAAGTTCAACTGGAATTATTAGCGAGTTTTGTTACAAAATTGTCAATACAGATTAAATAAAAAGTATGTCAGGACAACAACATGAAAAAAAAATGCAAAACCACTTTAACCATTTTTGAGTTTTTACACCAATGTTTCTATAGATTTTTTACGGGCCATCGGAGAGCAAGGGAAGGTACTGGGAGCTAGTGATTTTCGAGTAGGGTAATAGGAAACGATACCAACCTTCAATAGAATCTTGAAAATCTTTTTGAGTTTAATTTCTTGAACGATAAGTTTCTTGTGGCACGATGAACGCAAAACTATCTGATTGGAATCAAAAGGATATCCCAGCATCAACTTAACTTATCATGCGTCCCCACCCACTATCACACCCACGCCCAAAATAACCAAACCTTCAATCACTCCGGGGTCGGCTAATCGGTACCACACTTGTCTCTAATGTCCAAAGCCCCGACTCGTAAATTGCCTGATCACCGCATTCATTATATAGGCCATATACGCGTCCAAGACTCCACTACAACCCGGGATGTAGACCGAATGCATGGCGAGTTCCAGAAACGTAATTGGTCAACGTTAGCATTTCATAGACTATCCCTTCGAGTGGCTTCGGCCTCAAAGCACTAGCTGATCCAATCCAATCATATGATCCACTTCCCAATTTGGCTAACTAAGCTGGGCGAGCTTGGTTTGCAACTGAAGACCCTTTGTCTACACAAGGCGTCCATAAAAAGAAATTACAAAGAAACCAAGAAATGGCAGATTTCTCATATCCTGATGTTTCGTTGCTTAGTGGGTAGCAAAAATGAGAGAATTATGTGAAAAATAGAAGAAGTTTTATTTGTTCATTTCTTATTCCGCATTGAAGATCTTTTACCTGAAACAGCCCCGTTCCGTAGAAAATTGGTACGGTAACTCCTACATGTCTTTTCACCCACATTTGGAACTGATACAAAAGTGAGCCCTCCGTAATATCGACCTAAAGCATGCAAGCGATTAATGATTTTTTTTAAATATCAACTGCAACCGCACTTTACTCTTTCACTCCCTGAAAGGCTATTACTTTAACCCTCTTACCTGCTCATAGATGTCATTTTCTCCGAACGTGTACACAGGGACCAAGGAAGCACCGCACCTAAGAGCCTGTTTTATGAATCCTTTCCGTGTGAGCAGCTTCAATTTATACGATCCTGGTCGAGCATAAAGAGCCTCTTCCGCTCCACCTAGGTTATAGAATTTAGCATTATGTTCAGGTCCCTCTGACAAATGGAACCGTCAGTGACTTTACGATCATCTTACGATTTTCAGTGAAATAACCGTCAACTACTGTAAATTATTGATGAGCGTTAGCCCACAAAATATGATAGATGACTTTGTACTACTTACCAATGACGAGAATAACGGCTTGCCCTGCATTTCTCCTTGCAAAAGCATTTTGGATGCTTTCTTTGGAGCAGTCAATGAATCCAGACAGTAGCAGCCATTCCCGTCTGAGTACTTTATTACATGAACCTCGTGGTGTTAACTGTACATCAGCCCTTTACCTGATCATGTGGTAAAAGTTCGATGCCAATGTGCAACCCACAAAATGGAGACCCGGGAACTGAAGTGACATTACTGCCTTCTCATTTCGAAGGGTTTAAATCTATCAGTCAGACTCCATCGGACGGGCATTTGAATAGATAACATCCACTTACCTTTCTATTGTTATCGTCGATTTCTCTCATGAAAGCTGAGTAGAGTCCATAGCAGATTACGCCGTGTGGGTGACATGCGAAAAGGTAATTCTGAAAGAAGTCTTTTTTAAAGTCTCAGTGACGGTAATGGTTTGGTGTTCCCCATTTATGGCCATGAATCAGCTCAGAGAAGTTTCAGCCTAAACTATCTAACCCTCTCTCAAGATGTGAAGGGTTTTAGAAGATTGCTCAATGGATTAGTCTTCTCCTGGGCGAGAACAGAGCAGCAGTGACATGGGAGCTTATCATTAGCTCCAGCGGGCAGCCGCAAAGCTTCAGGGCAAAAACACATCCTTAGAAGTATTCAAACATAGAAAATCCTTTTCAAAAAAGCTCACTCGATTTGCAGGCAGATCAGCGGTTTTGTGCACATTCGAAGGGAAGTATTTAGCGGCCCATTCGTTATATCTCCACCTAAACAAGGTATCAGATCAACATGATGATTCTCTGAAGGTCCAGGGGAGAGCTCCAACTGCACGTGGAAGTTTTAGAGAAGAGTCATTTGAATAAACAGAATCTTGAATAGTGGTTTCAAATAGAAATTAAAATTGCACCTATACCTCCCAACCGATTTTCCCTCTAAAATCCACCCAGTTGAGATTACATGGGAAGAAGTCGTCTCCTAGTTAGTGATGAAAGAATACCAACCTTCTCAACCATGGATTGTTGTATCCACCGACGTATGGAGAATTTCGGTCATACAAAAACCACAGCCAGTACAAAAACAGAATATGCCATTGGAAGGTAAAGAACTGTAAGAGTATACCATTACTGTGGAGATGATTAGAAAAGTTCCCAAGCTGTACAAATGAAGTGAGCCTTCATAGATTTGCACCCAATTCTTCTCAACCCGTGGATTGATTGAAAGTAATTTTTGAAGTCGAGGAAATACCAAAATGAACGGCAGAACGAGGCTGACGGCGAACATCGGGATGACCATTACAAATATTATGATAACGCCCAGCGTCTGAAGTTTCTTGTCCCATGGCTGGAAAAGCGGTGAGAAATCGATACCAAGAAGTCGTCTCATTCTGAAATTTCCATCCCAAATAGGAAAAGATGTTAAATTGGAGGTGGAAAAAGGCACATAACAATATCATAGACATATCGACGAACTGTCGCTGCTACGTGTTGTCCATTCGTCATTCTTTGCACAAAATCAAGTGAGAGCGAATATCGTACATCAGTGTTATGTGCTTGATGGAAAAGAAAGGTGTAAAGGTAATATATTGATCAATATGTCTGGATGAATTCTGTGACTAGTTTGCAAGGTTGGCGAGTTGTGGGTAACCCGGACAGGACGTCAAACTCAAACAGAACATGAGCCACTGCTTGTGTTTTCCAAAACCCCACTTGACTTCGACTTCTCAATGGCTCATAAGCCACAGCTTCTGGGGGCTCGGGATTTTGGTAGTGCAAAGGATAAAGATCACGGTGCTCCGGAAGACAAGAACGTGTTTGAGTTCCGTCCGAGGCCGAAGTTGTACTCACAACTCGCCATCCCCGTGAGACGTTTCTATCGCGTTTTGCGGTGAAACAAAAAGCTTTCAAAGACATTGGTCATTAATGGTCCGGTTCCAAAACAGCTAATTGAGAGCTCATGCAACAGGAGTCAACACAAAATGAACAAACAGCTCCTTATAGAGAAATTCGGCGATTGGCTTGGCTTGATAGTAGCTTATTGGAGTCCGGATCGCAACCGCGAAGGATTTACCAATTTCGTGGCAACATGCTGACTAGCACATCAAGAGCATCATCATTTACTGCCCACCCATTACTCCACTCTTCGTTCAACGCCCTAAGCTACCACTTAACAATATAAGTTCACAATAGATCACAAGTGAAGATAGGAAGGAAACTTGAGCAGTGAAGGTTGCACTGATGGTTGAGGTGGGTTATATCATGGAACTTGTCGCTCAGTGAACAAAAGAGAACTCGCCGAAGGATTATTTTTGTGCTATGACCTCGTACAGAGGAGAATGCATTTGCAGGGAGCCATCTCCAGTTTTTGATGACATTTGAAGATGTTTTGTTCACTGGTCATTGCTTTTAACTGCAGTCTCGCTACTGCTAAAATATGGCAACCAGTTAGCACCCATATCCTGTTATCGGGGAGCGTGATCAAGAGTCACACCACGAGAGCAGCAATTTATAGCAAGTTGGTTCCGCCATGCCTTGGAAGCGGAACCACCGGGGCCAAGAGTCAGCCTGGGCACTTAATTGCGGATGAAAAGGCAAGGAGCTACAGTCAAACATAAAATTTCGAGATTCTGAACAAATCCCTACTCGTTTTACTAGCTACCGAGCTTTTTCTACTATGAAATGAACAAAAGAAGGCAAACATAGGAGCACGTAGTGACCCTATGTTTTTTCTTCCCACATGGGGAAAAAGTGCTTGCATGAGGCAATCAAAAAAACTTATATTCATATGGAGTGAAGAAACCAAAAAAGTTAGGAAATTTGAAAAACGGTTCCGATTGAAAAGATTCTCAGAACCACACTCGAAGAATTTCCTAGACCCAGAAAGAACTGGAAGGAAATGAACCACATTTAACTAGTGAATTGCCGATCAATCTTTCCCCCCACGTCCTGCAGTCATTATTTCCCAAGAATTTTTTATAAAATGAATTCCTTCGTGAAAGGTCTCCACAAAGATGATAAAAACAGGGGCAGTCACCTAGCAAACATGAAGAACCAGAAGGATAAGTCGTGCATTTTTTTCGTAAAAGAAGTGAAATCGGTCACAGTGTGATGTGTGATCAGGCCGTTCCTACTTTTTTGTTAACTCACACCAACGCTGTGAAGTTAAATGGAAGCCACTTTCGCCATCTTCATCATGACCATTCCAAGAAGGAGCTCCAGTACTGGGTATAGGAACAGCTAGCGCCTCACACCTTCTACCTGGTTGCGTCGCCGTGCGGCTTGGCCTTCGGCTAGCAGTAGAAAGGGGGGGGGGAAGGGAAGGAAGACACAAATTTGTTTGGCTGGCACA